AGTCCAAGATTTTAGCATTCATTCTCTGGTATTACAGAAATAAACGCTAAGATGTGGAGTCAGAATCACAATAAAAAAGCACAAATGTGCAAATGCAGCGTAACATTTTTCACTTTTGAGACTACTAATTCTGGCTACTATTTCCTCCTGTTGACCAACACTCATAACACATGGCTGCTCAATCTATGACTCTCCAGCTATTGTGGAACTACAGGTCCCATTATCCCTCTGCTTTGGGAGTCATGCTCTGTCAGCGGCTTGCAATGACGCATGGGACTAGTAGTAGAGCAACAGCTGGAGGGCCAGAGGGTGAGCACCCATGTTATAGGATATAGTAGTCAAGGAAGACCCACTGGGCACCACAATGGACAAGCACTATGATGTGCATACCAGCCAATGATAACACCTATTAGTTTGTACTTCAAGTAGCACAATGTACAATATTTTAATTTTCTTCTTGGATAACACTCTAGATCCCCTTTGGGTTTTCTTTTTGCCATATGTGTCCCATAGGGGAGATACAGTCAGGTCCATAAATATTGGGACATGGACACAATTCTAACATTTGTGTCTCTATACACCACCACACAATGGATTTGAAATGAAACGAACAAGATGTGCTTTAACTGCAGACTGTCAGCTTTAATTTGAGGGTATTTACATCCAAATCAGGTGAACGGTGTAGGAATTACAACAGTTTGCATATGTGCGAGAAGGAAAGGAACGGCTCATGATCCTAAGCATACCACCTCATCAGTGAAGCATGGTGGTGGTAGTGTCATGGCGTGGGCATGTATGGCTGCCAATGGAACTGGTCCTCTTGTATTTATTGATGATGTGACTGCTGGCAAAAGCAGCAGGATGAATTCTGAAGTGTTTCGGGCAATATTATCTGCTCATATTCAGCCAAATGCTTCAGAACTCATTGGACGCCGCTTCACAGTGCAGATGGACAATGACCCAAAGCATACTGCAAAAGCAACCAAAGAGTTTTTTAAGGGAAAGAAGTGGAATGTTATGCAATGGCCAAGTCAATCACCTGACCTGAATCCGATTGAGCATGCATTTCACTTGCTGAAGACAAAACTGAAGGGAAAATGCCCCAAGAACAAGCAAGAACTGAAGACAGTTGCAGTAGAGACCTGGCAGAGCATCACCAGGGATGAAACCCAGCGTCTGGCGATGTCTATGCGTTCCAGACTTCAGGCTGTAATTGACTGCAAAGGATTTGCAACCAAGTATTAAAAAGTGAAAGTTTGATTTATGATTATTATTCTGTCCCATTACTTTTGGTCCCTTAAGAAGTGGGAGGCACATATGCAAACTGTTGTAATTCCTACACCGTTCACCTGATTTGGATGTAAATACCCTCAAATTAAAGCTGACAGTCTGCAGTTAAAGCACATCTTGTTCATTTCATTTCAAATCCATTGTGTGTGGTGTATAGAGCCAAAAATGTTAGAATTGTGTTGATGTCCCAATATTTATGGACCTGACTGTATATATACTTTCACTTCCTGTCACACTACCACAACAGAAGCTGAGAAAAAAATCTTGGTAAAGTTTGGCAACTCCTGGTTGTCAACAGAACAAATGTCCCCATCGGAAGATATCCAATCTCAATGTTCTGTGGACAAACCAAGTTTTAATAAACTTATAAGGATTATGGTGAACAGGACAAAGAGAGGTTCAATCTTCCAAATGATGACACAGACAGCATTCAATACTGACAAGTGTTCTAGTCCCTCTCAAGTTTATCCAAGAAAAAAATTGGGCCTGGCTCAGTGCCATAACCTTTTCAGGCACACATCACCACAAAGCAGTAAACTGCTTTTGGAAAGCATTGTCAATATCCCAGACACATCTTCAAAGGTCTGGTTGAGTTCAGGGACCTACTCAATATTGGGTGGGTAGTCATAATGTTATGGCTTCTTTTAATTTACAAGTTTCTATACACTGGCTCAGATGAGGAATGAGTAGAATGAGTATAATGTGCTGCCTGGCTGTTGTCACCTGCTACAGACCCGCCTGGTGTAATGTCCGCTGGAATTGAATTATACTCTGATGCGTGGTTTGGAAATGTGTGAGTTGAAAATGAAGGGGCACTATGTTGTGCATATATATATCTTGGATTTGGGGAATTGGAGTATTGCACTGATTCTGGTGGGGGTACTGCAGATGACATGCGCATGTAGCGCTGTATGACCCCAAGGAGATCATATTTCAGGGCTGATAAGCGATGTGCTGGAATCTGCCTCATGTCGTGTGCCATAGAGCTTAAAAATCCACCTATTTGATCATCACGTGACTCCTGCATTAGCTGCCTCATTTCCTTACATACTTCCACAAATTGGGTTGGAGGAATTGCGACATCAGCTTTTCTCTTCCTGGACGAAGCAGAGCTCCGTGTACGATCACTCCTTGTGGTGCTTGGAACAGGGGAAGTGGAGGGCGTAGTAGGAGAAATGCACTGGTAATCCCCCATAACTGTTGTTTCCAGGTTATCCATGTCTGGAGTGCAGACATCTTGAATGTCACTACTGTCGGAAATATTTCCAGAAGTTCTGTGTGAAGGAAAAGAGAAAATCATGTACAGTTCTTCTAAAAACAGTTATCAATAGGCAGCGTCACATGTACAATACACAGTGGGTAAAATAAGTATTTAATCCCATGTAAGGTAGAGGTAAGGAGTATTCCCTGAACTGCCACTTAATTTATAACATTTTTACCATGTGGTTTTTTCTGCATTTTTGGTTGATGTTCTGTCAGCAGCTACAAAAACTGCAGCTGCTGACTTTTAAAAAACAGCACTTACCTGTCCCTCGGTCCTGTGGTGTGTCGCCCACATTCCAGAAGTCCGGCATCTTCAGTGTGGGCACCCGGCTGTGATAGCTTGCGGCTTCACAGCCGGGTACCCACTGTGCATGCGTGAGTAGCGCTGCACTTCATGAATGGTCCTGTAGTCCCAAAAGACTACAGGGAGGGAGGGAGGACACCTTCCATTTCCGATCAGCTAGGCGATCAGACCGGAAATGGGAGCGGGTACCTGTCAATTTCGGGTACCCACCCCACAAAGGAAAGGTGCCAATCCTTAATGGGGAGCAGTCCTTAAAGCAGAACTTCCCCTTTTGGGTGGAGCTCCGCTTTAAGCTCCTAGAAGCTGTAAATAGCATTTTCTTTCTGCTCCTAGAAGCTAAATAGTGTTATCCTTATGTGTCCATGCCCACTACTTTAGGCTGTTAGCATTTTTTGTGCTTCAGCTTCCTGGAGCATATTTCCAGCAGAAAAAAAATGCTAAATGCTTCCTAATGCTACTAAAACTCTACTAACAGCTTTTTCTAGCTTTTAAAATGCTTACACTCCTAAACACTACTAAAACGCTACTAAAAAATGTCATTACCAGCATTTTTTATCCAGCATATTTTGAGTTTAAAAAAATTGCCAGTGTGCATGGAGCCTGTCAGTGGTCATAATGTTATGGCTAATAAGTGTAAGCAGACTGATACATCAATGAAGGAGCTGTGCATCAATCTCTCTACACACTTAACCCATTTAAATACATCTGTGATAAAAATTATAAGCTTTTATTTTTTGGGGGGCAAACTTGCAGGAGATCAATTAATTATTTTAACCACTGTAGCAAGGCAGATTCAATAGGGAATACATACTGTCTCTTGCTCATTACAGCCTTCAAGAAGTGAAGCTCATTGAACAGTCGGTGCGTTTTCACTTTTTTTGCAGCAGAACCACTTGGTTGGGTAGATAACGCTGTCAGATCCTTCTTGAACCTGTCCCTGAGTGACTTCCAACGTTTTTTGACATTTGTTACTGTTTAAAAAAAAAAATACTATTAGAACATCTACAACTAAAATCACATTTTTCTGACCATGTGCAGTCACACATTTGAATAAAATGCTGCAAGTGTGGGCACATGGTATTTGTCCAAGTTTAATAATATCTGTGCTTAGGGGCAGCGTGAAAAAGTTTGCCCATGAAAAAAAATTACTCACGTTTATTCTCCTCTCTAGAGATGAGCGAATTTCTCAAAAATTCGATTCGGCTGATTCGGCGAATTCCAGTGTGAAATTCGATTCGATGCGAATTTCTTCGCTACGAAGATGACTTATAAAAAGGGTTTCTAGGCTTCAGAGAGCCTTTAAATTAGTGCAGAACACTGTACCTTTAATTTAAATGCCCTTGGAGATGAGGAAAGAGAAGGAGAAGGAGAAGGAGAAGGATGAGAAGAAGGAGAAGGATGATGAGAAGAGGAGAAGGAGAAGGATGAGAAGGAAGGAGAAGGAGAAGGAGAAGGATGAGAAGAAGGAGAAGGAGAAGGATGAGAAGAAGGAGAAGGAGAAGGATGAGGAGAAGGAGAAGGATGAGAAGAAGGAGAAGGATGAGAAGAAGGAGAAGGAGAAGGAAAGAAGGAAGGAGAAGGATGAGAAGAAGGAGAAGGAGAAGGATGAGAAGATGGAGAAGAAGAGAAGGATGAGAAGAAGGAGAAGGAGAAGGATGAGAAGAAGGAGAAGGAGAAGGATGAGAAGAAGGAGAAGGATGAGGAGAAGGAGAAGGATGAGAAGAAGGAGAAGGATGAGAAGAAGGAGAAGGATGAGAAGAAGGAGAAGGATGAGAAGAAGAGAAGGAGAAGGATGAGAAGAAGGAGAAGGATGAGAAGAAGGAGAAGGATGAGAAGGAAGGAGAAGGAGAAGGAGAAGGAGAAGCAGAAGGAGAAGGATGAGAAGAAGGAAAAGGAGAAGGATGAGAAGATGGAGAAGGAGAAGGATGAGAAGAAGGAGAAGGAGAAGGATGAGAAGAAGGAGAAGGATGAGAAGATGATGAGAAGGAGAAGGATGAGAAGAAGGAGAAGGAGAAGGATGAGAAGAAGGAGAAGGAGAAGGATGAGAAGAAGGAGAAGGAGAAGGATGAGAAGAAGGAGAAGGAGAAGGATGAGAAGAAGGAGAAGGAGAAGGATGAGAAGAAGGAGAAGGATGAGAAGAAGGAGAAGGAGAAGGATGAGAAGAAGGAGAAGGAGAAGGATGAGAAGAAGGAGAAGGATGAGAAGAAGGAGAAGGATGAGAAGAAGGATGAGAAGAAGGATGAGAAGAAGGAGAAGGAGGATGAGAAGAAGGACAGTTCTCTGTGACAGTTTCTGTCTATTTCTGACAGTTCTGGGACATTCACTCCATACAGCTGTTTCAACCGCTGTATGGAGGGAATGTCATGGAACTGTCAGAAATAGACTATTAATGACAGTTCTGGGACTGTCCTTCCATGCAGCGGTTGAAACATTGTATGTATTTGTTTCCATAAATGGATCCATTTATGGAAACAAATAGATACAATGTTTCAACCGCTGTATGGAAGGACAGTAGAACTGTCATTAATAGTCTATTTCTGACAGTTCTATGACATTCCCTCCATACAGCGGTTGAAACAGCTGTATGGAGTGAATGTCCCAGAACTGTCAGAAATAGACTATTTATGACAGTTCTGGGACTGTCCTTCCATACAGCGGTTGAAACATTGTATCTATTTTTTTCCATAAATGACATTCTGCAAATACACTTAGAGGAGCGCTGCAGATACACTTTTTGCCGGCTTGGAATTAATCTTATTTTCATCCTACTTCTTCTTCTTCATCCTCATCCTCATAAGAAGAAAAAGAATAGTAGGATGAAAATAAGAATAATTCCAAGCCGGCAAAAAGTGTATCTGCAGCGCTCCTCTAAGTGTATCTCTGCAGAATGTCATTTATGGAAAAAAATAGATACAATGTTTCAACCGCTGTATGGAGTGAATGTCCCAGAACTGTCATAAATAGTCTATTTCTGACAGTTTTCACTCCATACAGCTGTTTCAAAAAAGCTGTATGGAGGGAATGTCATAGAACTGTCAGAAATAGACTATTAATGACAGTTCTGGGACTGTCCTTCCATACAGCGGTTGAAACATTGTATCTATTTGTTTCCATAAATGGATCCATTTATGGAAACAAATAGATACAATGTTTCAACCGCTCTATGGAAGGACAGTCCCAGAACTGTCATTAATAGTCTATTTCTGACAGTTCTATGACATTCCCTCCATACAGCGGTTGAAACAGCTGTATGGAGTGAGTTGAAACAGCTGTAAGGAGTGATTGTCCCAGAACTGTCAGAAATAGTCTATTTCTGACAGTTTCTGGGACATTCACTCCATACAGCTGTTTCAACCGCTGTATGGAGGGAATGTCATGGAACTGTCAGAAATAGACTATTAAATGACAGTTCTGGGACTGTCCTTCCATACAGCGGTTGAAACAACGGAAGTATGTATTTGTTTCCATAAATGGATCCATTTATGGAAACAAATACATACAATGTTTCAACCGCTGTATGGAAGGACAGTCCCCAGAACTGTCATTAATAGTCTATTTCTGACAGGTTCCATGACATTTCCCTCCATACAGCGGTTGAAACAGCTGTATGGAGTGAATGTCCCAGAACTGTCAGAAATAGACCTATTTCTGACAGTTCTGGGACAATCACTCCATACAGCTGTTTCAAACCGCTGTATGGAGGGAATGTCATGGAACTGTCAGAAATAGACTAATAATGACAGTTCTCTTGGGACTGTCCTTCCATACAGCGGTTTGAAACATTGTATGTATTTTGTTTCCATAAATGGATCCATTTATGGAAAAACAAATACAAACAAATGTTTCAACCGCTGTATGGAAGGACAGTCCCAGAACTGTCAGAAATAGTCAATATTCAGACAGTTCTGGGACCATTCACTCCAAACATCTGTTTTCAACCGCTTGTATGGAGGGAATGTCATAGAAACAGTACAGAAATAGAATATTTATGGACAGTTCTGGGACTGTCCCTTCCAAACAGCGGTTGAAACATTGATATGTATTTGTTTCCATAAATGGATCCATTTATGGAAACAAAATACATTCAAATAGTTATCAACCGCTGTATGGAAGGACAGTCCCAGAACTTGTCATTA